TCGGCCGTAATTTTCGCCGATGAAATGTTCTCCGCGTTCAACCAAGAGAAAATTGTTTCGCGGCGAGAAACGTCAAGCGGAGAAGACGAAATATATACGTGATACGGTTACGAGGTTACGAAGAAAGGATTATAAGCCGCAGCTGCAAGCTGATGTTTATGCGGCTGCTGAGTGCAGCGATCCGAGAAGCGGAGTTCATCTTGAACGTTCTTAAAATGTAAACCGAGTCGGTCGAGTTACCGGGAATGCAGTATTGTATTTTAGTGCGCCTTTGTTATATTGATCCATTCGTAGAAACAATTATTCCGAGTAACCTTGTCACGTATCGTTTTACGATAATACCGTAGCATCATTATCATTGTCGCGCGATTCCAAAAGCCATAAGGAAAGTATTCCCTTCTACACCGTTCACCCGATTAATAAGCAATCTTATAATCGTCAGACGATATTAGACGACCGAGATAGATATCGAATTTGTAAATATATTGTGTAACGAATTTGTAAGTTCAAAACATTTGCTTTAACTCTGGAGTGATCACTTATCTAATACAAGCGTAATTATGTGGAAGACCGTTTTAAATATCCTACATTTTAAATAAACAGTTTCAATAAAACGAATCGCTTTAGAAAGTAAAAATATTTATTTATGAAATAACAATGATAGAAAATGTTCATAGAAGGTAACAATAATAAAAGATCTTATTTAAAATGAGAGCAGTCTCTAACTGACAAATACACGAAGGCGCAAGATGGATAGTTGTTAATACTTTTTGGAAAATGTATTCCAGTGTACATAGATGATACCTGTCATCCATGCGACTATTGTAGAGTCAAAGAACAGTTTACTTAACCGAGGAGTTTCTTTCCCCTGCTTTACAAACGCTGTTACGTTCTCCTTTGAAACATCAATGACATTTCCTGTCGCCTTATATTTCCCCTAATTAAAAATTTTTTTTAATGTCGATGCCAGTATCGATACTTTCGTCTCGATGCTGGTATTAATAATGATATCGACACTCTTGATTAGATATCCGTTTCAATATTAGTATCGATCCTTTCACGGCATCACAGCATCCCTATTTCGAAATTACGACGCGCGCGAACGTATCGGAGCCTCATTTGGCGAGGCCTTTTGATTCGGAGTATCATTAATGATTAAAAACTCGTTTTCCAGCCCCGCGGCGTCGAGCTGGAGGAGCGAGGAGCTCGTCGGGGAGCCCTCCTTTCATGCAGACGACAAAATCGGGACGCGTGAAAGGGTTTCCGGTCGCATTCAGGTATCGGAGGGCGCAAGAAAGAGAGAATTAACGCGTGAATGGCATCACTCACGGACGGGTCCCTTAAGGTCGCGCGTACATTGCGTCGCGTCTGTGTGCGAGCGCGCGCGTGCGCACCTGCTCCGATTATGAACGCGGATTAACTTCATTCGCGGCCGTCCTATTCATCGCGTCACTAGAACGGCGAAACAATGACGGGACCCGGGGAAATTTTCGTCCCTCCCTCGCGACGTCTTTCGCGCGCGCGTTCCACTTATGATTTATATCGAAATTCGGGTGCTCTCGAGCAAGAGCATCGCACGGCGGGCCGCTCGTAAATTCAAGTCCCACGAGCCGGTGTAAACCGGCATTCATGCGCCGCAAATTAGAGAACATCGGTCGGCGTCGCGTGACGTAAAGCGACGCTCGATTTACCGCGTTCGCGAACGACGATGAGGCAGACCGGGCGGGACGCGTCTTTTTCGGAACGGTGGGCTTCCTGCGAGCGCCCGAATGCGGTATTTTCAGCACGCAAAGTGGCCCGCGTACAGTTCCCCCGCTTTTTTTTCTTTTCCGCTTTTCTCTTTGTTTTTTGGTTTGTTTGTCAGAAGCGTCGTAGAGCCAGCACAGCTCGTCGTTGGTGCCTTTGATTCGCACCGTCGCGTTATTCGCGATTTGTCGCGATAAAACGGAGAGCGTTAATCTTTTTATTACGGAGAGGAACGGAGGGAAGGCGGTCGCCGATTGAATGCCCGTTGACGGTCTCGAGCACGAACATGCGTGTATATTCGCCGCGAAGACAGCTCGCGTCGTCGGCCTTCTTTTCACACAGAGCGAGGACTTCGAAAGAGGAAAAATCAAGTCAAGTATGTAGAACCGCGCGCGGAGAGAGAAATATGTTATTTTCCTGCGGATAAGTCGCGGACGTGCAAGGTCGGCGCACGAAGTGACCGTTTCGATTATGTATTCGGGGTCAAGTCAGCGAGTGAGGCGAGGTGCGAGAATTGCATGGTAATTGTTTCGACATAAAAACGTATGAAATTCAATTTTGTGAAATTTTATCATATTTCCAACACGACGCTGACGAAGTTTGCTGAAAGATTGTGATACTTATCCAAATTGCTTTGGAATTTTGTGTTACAAAGAGGCCAACGTGGTGTATTTTAGTTTCATTCTATACATCTCACTTTGTCTCTCCTCCTTCTCTTTGTCAACATTCCTCTGTGTTTTATATCTTAATAATGAAAAATATTTAAAAAAGAGGGAAAGGACAAATTGCACATTTAGCGAAAGACGGTTCTCCTCATACTTTTATACGGTATTTTGACCGCTTTAATCGACGAAAGTCTTTTTAAAATCGATTAAGAATCTTAGAATTCTTGGAAGGTAAGCAGAATTCGACTTATTTTTTTCCAAATTTTAAAAAAGTGTAGTCAACTCCACAGTGGTGCGACTTCCGGTTTTCATCTTCGCAACTTCTGTGAGTGAATACTTGAATACACAGATTCATGGTATAACGCTGTCGTTGCAAGGAAATTTATTCTCAAAGTTTTTCCCTCTCAGGCCGTCTGGGAAAGCGAACGCGATCAACGAACGATGACGTCGGCATAGCTTTGATCCCGTCGCCTTTGATCTGTGCCGCTTATTGATTTCGCGTCGTCGTCGTCGTCTCGTCCTCGTTGTCCTGATCAAGTTATAAGAAAAAGGAGAGAAGGAAGGGACACAGAATAATTATCATCGTTATAACGGTCAGGATAATGACACGTCTGTGCGATTCCCTCGAGGATATCGAGTTTTCATTGCGTGATTTTCAAACCCGGCAATTGACGGTTTATGTAAGCCCGACCCTGCCGCAAGGTATAGGACTCACGTGTCTTTTTTTCACGTGCGAATAATGGCTCGCGGAATATGGCAATTGCAATAACGCCTGGAATTTCTTGATAGCTCGCGTGTGAATAAAAGCGGCGGGATTGGATTACGCTTACCTGGCGATATTTAGCGAATAATAATACGTAAGCATATGGAAAACTGCTCGTGACGTTGGGAAATTTCCGATAATGACCGACCGTCGAATGTCAATGTACTCACGATTCAGGTGGAGGAATATCAATTTCGTAATCTTGCGTTTTACACGGCATAATGGCGCCAAGCCGTCCGTCTAAGATTCTGCAAGGTTATATCACGAAGAATCTAAAAGACAAACCAACGATATGAGAGAAGAGTTCTACATGGACATCGCGAATCACTTATCGTTATTTTTAAACGTTTCGCGTAAAATATAATATTGTAAAGTAAAAAGATTACTTACCGGTCATTGAATCGCATTTCTACCTCGGTTTGCCGTTAAAGACGATGGCGCCTCATAACGGGGATCTTGGAACTACATTTCGGAAGAGTCGATTTGCTGAATCCTTAAAATGCGGTTAACAAGCTGCTTGGTGACATCTAGCGGTGAAATGGCAAGACTCGTTATCGGGGCTACCACCAATCGGCTTTGAGTTTCGGCTAAGCGTTACCCATCGTTGTATTCTTAATTCTCAGGCTTCCGTTAGGAGCCGCCACTGACGTTAATATTACATTTCGCGGTCTGTATCGAAAAGCTTGACGTTCGGCAAGTTTGTAAAGATTGCTGGAGCTATAAATCTCGAGTGATTGCTGGAGTCGAAGACTACTGTTATTTGTTTGCACAATCTACCGGGGCTCCCAGCAGAAATTTGTGCAAATTTTCACGCGCGCGCAAACTTTGCAGTGAACGATGGACTTCCAGGCTCTGATGATGAGTAATTACTTATTTTTTTCTAGTCTGTGACATTCAATAAAATATATTTTCATATGCTTATTTATATGCTTATCAGGCTCATTATTTGTTAAATGTTATTTTGTTTAATAAAGAATTCACACTAAGTTCAATATCTGATACAATTAGGATATTGCTTTAAGTATTTCAGAGGATTATATAAATAATAATGAAATTAGCAGTAAGCAAAAGTTATTACCAAGAACCTGCGATTTCAGCCACAATCAAAATTTGAGATATTACTTCATATAATTGAAGGCTGATATTTCATTTATGACTTCTGCACACAGATTGTGAATCAAATGCATAATGAAAATGCAGATCAGAAGGGAGGACACAAATAATGCTTAAGGCATGTGCAATTAAAGTGCAAGCATTTAATGCACAGATAAAGAGAATAATATTGAATATTGTATAAATGATGAGGAAGAGTATTTAAATTGATAGAAAAATGGTAAAGTGTAAAATGTAAGATGTAAAAAAGAGGTACTTGCGAAGAAACTAAGAAACTAAAACTTACCGAGTGAGTATCAGAGATAGTATCACTTGTTTTTTTAAATGATATTTGGAAACTGGCCCTGAAATATCCTAAGATTACATGCGAAATATGAGTTTTGTGTAATATGCGAAAATGACAAAAATCTATTGCACATTAAATCTTGTGATATGAGAATTAAGAGTTTATCATTGTATTTTATTATCGTAAAATATAAGCCATTTTGATATTTTCTGGAAAAATGTTATTTATTGTAGAACGTTTCACAATTTTCTGATTGCAAATGATTTTAATCAGTACTTTGATAACACTACAAAATTTGATTAATTTTTGCAGATGATTATTTTATATACGTATGCACATCTGCGGATACAAATATTTTAATATTTAATATTACGTGTATATGCTGCGCACGATACTTTATGTTAACTACAAAATTAACAGCTAAATATTAAATCTACGATATTCTTTACATATTCGTTACATATATAGATGTATGATAGTTTTTCTATAGACGAGTTTATTCCGATGATTATATCTGTTGGGTTGTGAAAATATTTCAATTTAATGTGTTCAATTTCGCCTTATGACGAAGACATTTACGGTTGATCTTGTAATCAGGCCCATACGGCATTTTATTAAGAAATGTCATACCACCGCGCATTTTCATGCAGTCCCCCAATTTATTTTCCAACATTTCCTCTATTTTTTTTTCTATTTCTTGTACCTGAAATATAATGCCTTATTCATGAAGAATATTTATAAAGAATATCTTGATTCTTTGTAAGAAACAATTAATATAATTTTCAAATATCTTTACTTTTTGCGCCGTCTTTGTCGTAATAAACGCCTTGGGATGCTGGCCATCAGTAATATTTGGCACTGCCACTACAGCCACCTCATACACAGCAGGTTGTTCCTTTATTATTGTTTCGACTATCGACGGTGAGAAGTAGTATTCTCTAAACTTGATAAGATCTACTGCTCGATCGGTGACGTATATGTCACCATCTTTGTCGTAGTAGCCTATGTCTCCGGTGTCGTGCCATCCTAAAGAACGTGTGACGTGTATTTAACAAATAGAAAAAGACGTTTCTGCACATGTTCTTCTTTTATTCTCTTTTGCGTATATTTTTCTTTTGTTCTCTTATTTTTTTTCATAAATAGTCCGAGTAGCTATTCAATTTTCCCCTTAATTTTATAAGCTATAACATTTTGCGTAAAGTTCCCGACCATATAATCAGATTAAGCTTTGTAACCTACCGTTCTCATCAACCGCTTGCATAGGATTTGCATCTTTGATGTCATAATATGTCTTTGACATGCCCCAACATTTGCACCAGATGTTACCAGGTTTATTAGGTCCTAGCGGTGTCTTAGACATATTGGTGATCATTAATTGGACATTCTTACCTATATAACCGTTAGATCCGGGCTTTCCGCTACATCTTTGATAAGCGATTACGCCTGTTTCTATCGTACCTAGATAAATCCAAACTCGATGTGACAATTTTAAATGACGTTTCCCAATCGCCAGTGGTTTTCGAAATATCATAATAATTGTATATACCATATAATGACACAATAGAAACTTTTGGAAATAACTTGACGAGATCCGTATAAATAAAATATTCCATCCTTGAACCGTTTAACATTATCATTCTTAAAGAAGAGGTATTATGTAAAAGAAAACCCTTAGAATCTAAGAATGCTTGGCATAGACCCGTTTCAAATCGTACCCATCGTACCTGAAAGAGACACGATTATTTTGTATTTTATATACTCTAGAAACACATTTTTCTTCTTTCTAAATCTCTCCCTCTCTCTCTCTCTCTCTCTCTATCTATCTATCTATATTATTGTTTACACAATACCTTATACTTTTCTATAGTTCTGCACATTTTTGTCATATCGTCTCCTTCAAATATAATAACTTGTATATAATTACATATCGCTTGAATGGTTAGTATCAGGTTGGGGAAGGAAAAATGAGTTCCTACCCACATGCCTCTGGCACCGGATAACATATTTATCATATTGATAATCGCCGGTGCCATAAATGCTTTGTGAGATATTTTCACAGCTTTAATCAAACCTTCAATACCGCGAGTATACATTATCACTGCGGTCTCTAGTTTAAATTGATCTAATTCCGTGCAAATAAACTTATCTATTTCTGTTTGGCTGTATTCGTCAATAAAGCATTCGAAAATATCGCAAGCAAAATAAATCTTATTAAAGAAAGATTGTGATTTGTTGAGAACCATCACTGTTGGCGCCATATCCTCTGTTTCATCGTTATCGGTAGGTTTTGATTCATGATGTGGCATCTTATCGACAAATATCATTTTTGGATTGTTACGTGTAATTTCAGATGAAATTTCTAAAATATTTCTTAATAATTAAATTGTATGATATAATTAAATAATTGCCAAACCAAGTTATATGACAGTAATGAAACAAATCAAACAAATTGTATTCAAGAATTGGGAAAAATTATATTTACCGTAATCCGTGCATTGATCGTATTTCCGTATCATCGGAATAGCGCCAATATATAAGCACGCTAAAATGATATACAATCCTATATGATGATTCGTGCATATTCCTATGAAGTCTCCTGGATCAACATTTTCCTTTATCATCCACATCGCTAATCTTACACTTTTATATTTTATTTCTTTATATGTAATTTTTTTTCCCGTCTCTGCATCTATCTGTAAAAAACGTGTCAATCGATATAATTACTTTTTAAGGTAAAAAATGTGGTATAAAGTTATCACTATAAATAAGAAATTGATACCTCATACATATATATTTTTTTTACGATATGTGTGTCCACATATCATACATACGCGCGCGCATATATACACACAAATATCATATTGTATATCAACACAATACCTGTGCAACAAAATTTGGCTGAGAATTAAGAATGCGTAGAATTATTTGCCCCAGATGTGTGTTATATAAGTCCTGATATGGAATTTCTTCGCCTATTAAAATGTTATTTTTTATTTTCAATGGAGGTTTCTGCGAATAATAGCGGATAATGGCATTGATAATACTTATTGCTCTTTTACTAATTTTACAGAATGTCGCTAATTATTCGTTTTAATGGAGACAGCTACGACGACTTTAACCTTGATACAGATTGTTGGGAACACTCTCCTAAGTAAACACCGATTTTAAGTGGCGGTCCTTGTTTGTTAAAAGTCGACAAAAAAATTCTATCAGTAAGTTCTTGACAACATATAGGTCATACAAGTCGTCGGAGAGCTGTGACTATTAAAACGAATAATTTCTAAAATACTTTCTCTAAACATTATATAAACAACTTACATGACACGTATATTCCATATTGCTGATAAATTTTATATCCGTCATTTCAGTATTATCGTATTAATGATATTAACTATTTATTCTAAAACTGGAATATTACAGTATACAGAGTTACTAACAGTTAGCAATTGTTATAATAATAAATAATTATCCTGAGTTATTAAATATAAAAATATACAATTTCTTTTCTTTATAGGATATTTGTTTAACTTTTCTGTCATTATATTAGTACCCGGATATTTATTTCAAATCGCTTGTGAGACGCGGAACGTGTCAAAACATTTTATCGGTACGTAGGTATATCCAAAGTTTTTATGTTCGGTGATTCTCTAGAATGTAATAAAAAAAGATGCCCGAGGCTTAGCACCTGGCTATGGTCGGTATTCATAGTCAGATCTTTTATTTAAGACCGTCTTAAATTCATTTTCAGATAATAATAAGATTCAAAATGCTGCAAAATGCAAAGGGATAACAAAGAAGCTAAAACTCACCAAAACGCGTTAAATGACGATCATTTGAAAAAAACTTTTCCTAATATTGTCTTGACGTTATATTGTTATGTTGGTGAAAATATTTCTGATCTATTTGTAGTAAGAACAGATGATGTTTACCGATTAACACGTATCGTGTCGAGCCAATTTCACGAAAATTTCCGGTCGAGATGTCACTAGTGGTGCACACAGCGTTGTAAACTTAGTCAGCCTACCTGAAGGTCAACTTACCTGAAAGCTTTGGGTGGGCTACTAGTGCTACGCGATAACAATCGATGGTTTCTTTTCAATGGTGGAAAATAATAATGGTGGAAAATACGTGGCACAATGCACCAATTTTTCGGTTATTTTTGACCACCTTAACCAGGAGTCAGATCCTAAGTAATATATCGTTCGAAAGGTTTTGGTGAGGAGAATCCAATGAGATAATAAAAATGAGGTTCATGTAGACAATAGGATGTCCTAAGACGTCGTAAAAACGTCTTTTAAACAATAAGACGTCCTAAGACGTCTTGTTTGTGTTCTTTATTTGTTTAAGATGATTTCGTTCAAGTTAGTCGGAAGAAAACCCAGAAGAAATATCAGAGTCATAAGAATTGGCAGTCAGGTAGGGTTGAGCAAAATCATCGATGTTCGCTCATTGAGGATACGTTGTACGAATTTGTTGGATGTACCGATTGGTTATCGGATAGAGGATTTCTAGAGTCCCTAATATTTTCTCTAGATGTAATGCTATCCTCAATGTAATACTATCCTCAATGAACGAGCATCGATGTTTGAAAAACAAATGTATTTGCAGTTTGTATTTGCAGGTGCCTTTTATTGTGGAATTATTAAATGTATGTCTTATACAATTATTTCCGTTTTTATTTAATCGTAGGTTAATTTGTTTAATGTATATCTTTTATCCGTCAAAAGTGGTTTTGTACTCTGCTAAAGGTGGTTCTCTACTCTGCTAAAAATGGTTCTGTAATCTGCTAAAAGTGGATAAAACAGCGGCGCATGACGTGTATGTTTTTATACTTATACCGCGGGTATAATGGGTCAAGTCTGACAGAAAGAACGATTATTACGACTGTATATGTAATTTCTATTTTACAAGAGTGTGTGCCTGTGTTTAAGATGCGTTTCGATTGATTAATCGGGAAAATCAAACGCTTAATCGGCACACAAGAAGGGGTAAACAATGCTGGATCATGTGTTATTATGCTGCAAAAGTTTATCATGCGCGCACACACACACACACACATAGATAATGTAAAACGGAATCGAATAATATATGAATGCTGCAGAGCGATATATATTTTACCTAATAGAGATAAATCTTAAAGTGTACGAGGCTGGTCATTCTTATCTTTTTCATAAAGATAATTCTTTTTATCTTTCAGGAAAAAATATCTCGACGATTACCAGCGACGCAAGGTAAATGTTTCTTTCTGCGCCGGCGAACGAATGGAGATTGCACTATGCGCAGAGAAACTTACAGTAGGATCTTATTATAGACGTATTCACGTAAGTTTGCATCTACAGTGACTCACTTCGGAAATATATGAATCACGTCTGTTCCAAACGGATTTGGTACGACCCCCGCAGTTTCCGGCACGGATATTCCGTTTATCTTGCTTTCTCCGGGGGCAATCGGTGCGAAGTCGTGATTTCAGTCGAAATTCATCCTCCGAACGGAACTCGCACCATCCGATCTCTAAATTCGCGTTAATTCGCGAACTCCTCGCGATATCCGCATTATGAAGCAGATGTCGCCTTGAGAATTACGAATACACACTGTTCCGCGTTCTACATTGTATTCTCTTAAATTATATTCCCCAGCCTCATGAAGTGACACGAATGTAATCGAGATTGATTAATTGCGCTGCTACAACAGGCAGTGTCGATCGCGTCGTGAGAAGAGAGCGGGACTTTTTTGAAAATTCTTTCACGCGAAGTCACGCGAAATCACGAGGCTATGCACACGCATTTGCCCGCGATTAATTCAAATAACCCGGTAAATTTATCTTCATCCACTTCACGATCGTCCCCTATTCTTAATAAGCGAGACGCTCCGCGGTTTTATCGTCGTTCTTACAATTGACGCGGGTTGCAGATCGCACGCAGCCGGCCACGTGATGAGCGTTGCGAAAGATTCCGCGAAGTATCAAGGAAAGGATAATCTAATCTAATCTAATTTTGGCAAAAGCCGCGTGATCATCGATGCCCGCATCGTACTCCGCGCCCGCTCCAAACCGGACGCGAACGCGCCCACGCGAATGTGTTGGTTCATCGTTCGTTCGTCGTTTTTGTTTATTATTCCAGCGTATGCTTGCTTGACTTATATTGTGCCGATGTAAATGCGCGGCTTTGCGCCGCTCGCGAAAACCGCACCGGCCTATCGACCGACCGACACGCTAATCCATCCTTCGTGTGCGCTTTCCGTTTCTTCTCGGCCTCCTCTTCGCGAAGAAGTCTCTTCAAGAATCGCGACGGATCGCGTCACATTGTGTCCGGGATGAATTTCATACGGCGAACGGGGCTGGAACTGTGTTTCGCGCGGATGTGAAGCCACCTTCCTTATTTTTTTACGCGTGTGTATGCGCGCGCGCGCGTGTGTGTGTGTAATGCGAGCCGCATGGAATAATCCATCGGGAACGAGAAACGCTCGAGTTTCTCCACGTAAAAATGGCACGGTGATTTTATTAGCCCTTATTTGGGTTAATTGCGAGTTACGGAATTCGCGGGGAGCGTGGCGGGCCTCTCGCGGAGTATTTTTCACGACGGGAAAACCAGCCGTCCCTTCGGTGGCTCCTTTTTCGTTCAATTAATCGCGACTTTAAACTCGCCGCGCGAACACGACCGCTTTAATTTTCCCCTAACAACGTCCATAAATTCAGCGAAGTAAAATTCCAGTATCCACGGCTCGCTTACAATTAGAGTGGAAGCGCCGAGAGGCGACTTGGACCGCAGGCGTTTAACGACGTAATCGCGTCGCGAAGAAGAAGCGAAAGAATAATCACCGATGGACTAGTCGCGCGCTAACCCGAGCGACGTCTCGCTAATGCGCGCGAGATTTAATGCGCCTGGACTTGCGCATATTTCACCGTCGTGTTGAGGCCGGAGAAAATAATTCGGTTCTGAAGATACAGAGTGTAACGTGAAGAAATAACGGAAGTGTAACGGGATAAACCTTGTTCCGCAGTGCGACCACCGACATTCGTAATTTTTCTTCTTTTTTCTTTTCAAGCGAGACTCGTCGCGGAAGGTTCGTCGATTGCGCCGAGAACTGCCTATCGAGTGAATACACTTTTCGATTATATTTCGCGCGCCCCTGCGTAAACGTTTAATTAAGCATCGTCGCCTGCGAGCACAATGCTTACCTTTAATGCAACGACGTCTATCAATTTCACGGTGGAATTCCCAACGTTCGCTTGCTCGGATTTTTCCGAGTCGAAAGAATGACGTTCTCTGTAGCATATCTCGCATTGCTGAAATCAAGTTAAAAGTGCCGTTGAAATTCCACGTTCTCGTATCTTCAATTATTCGAATGCCAGAAGTTCAACGTCCCGTTTTAACCGTATGGATCAATCACATTTCTTGTTAAAACATTAAAGACTGTCTTATCGACTCGTTGGCGGATCGCGTTACCTGGCAGCGGATTGGACCATTTTTGTGATAAAGTGCTGCTCAAATCGGCCGCGGAAGAAGCTTCATATCTCTGTCAGTGCCATGCCGCTTAGATCTGAGATCTCTTCGAGGAACACTTTTAATGCTCTCACACCGACGGTTAGTTTCCTAAAAAATGTCGTTTTCACGTCGTAATCGCCGGTCACTCCAGCATTCCTTTAACCGTTGAGAAATTATCTGCGAATGACGTGATATCAAGTGTCTAAATTCCACGGTGAACGGTTCACATTTGTCAGGATTTGAGTCATTGAGGATCTCGCGCGGCAAATTTCGGCGACGGTCAAACAGCCGACGGAGACGAAGTGTTGAGATCTAGTGGCCTCCGCTAATCCGGCCGCTTGGCGTCGACAATGTCGTTTCTGCCCGCGCGTCTCGCAAGTAAAATACACACGTTATCCAATACACGTCCGCCGGAAACGCGATTTGAATACGATAATGATACGAGACAGCGTCCGGGTGACCCAACTGGATTCGCAGAGCGTGAAATCGTGCTCGCGCTGAAGGGAGCGAAGTGTCACGCATTAAAGGCGCGCGCGAGGAATAACGAGCGACGCGCGAAATTGCATCGTTGCGAGGACACAATGGAAATGGATCTGTCACTCTTTCGACGCGATCACGCGTCAGTATTTAATGTTCGAGCACGAACGAACGTCGCTCGCAGATGCCGCGCCGTAAAACCGACGACGTTAAATAAATGAATTCCAGGCCAGACGCATGCAAAGTGGCGCGTATAATTTGTATCGCGCGCGTCTGCTCAAAATCGAGACGAAGATTCCCGAGCACGATCGGTAGGGCTCGTTAATTGTTTATCGGTTGATGAACAGCCGAACGTTCCACGCGTCGGAGATGTATTCGCAGAAAAAAGGAAGGACGTTATATCTGTTCGTGTTTATCTTTTAATGCGATGAACAGCAACGTCGATTCCATCGCGACCACGGGGACCGATAAGCTCCACGCCAATTATACTATTAATTGATTAAACCAACCCTTTATTTTTGAACATCCATAAATGCATCCTTCTATTCACGGAAAACAACTTTGCAAAACCATAATTTAAGCAGTGGTTCAATATGGCAATAACTGAAATATACTGCGGCATATATTGACGTAACATTTCGATTACGTCCGAATGTTAATTAAATTGATTATTATTATTATTATTATGATTTTCCCCGAACGTATGTCTCATATTCCACTTTTAGAAAAGAATTCCAACAAAGAGCATTAAACGTTAAACGTCACTTCCTTCTCGGAGTATCAAATCCGGGGAGACGTGTCGGGAATAAATTTACAAAAGTATTTCCGTTCGCCGGCCGCGAAAAACCACGTGTCTATTACAAATGAACTTTTGCAGCCGTGTGACATTTCCCGCTCGTTATTTGCTCCGTGGGTCAACGGATCATGCTTGAAGTCACCGATGTTTTTATACCGACATTTTCACGGCGGGACAGCTATAGGAATCGTCATCCGCGCACGATTTCGAAGTATAAAACCGAGGAGTTCGATTTCCTGTTTTTTTTTTTTTTTTCCCCCCCTTTAAAGTAAACTCATTAAACGTGCGCGCACGATATTTTGTTTTCAGGACGAACGACGTCGTATCGGCAGATACGTAGCGGGTGGAACAGCCCTGGCAGTTACATTGCTTGGCCTGCATCATGTGCTTCAACGGGGTGCATTCACTATAGCCGGGGTGTGCATACCCACCATTATAATGGCCTCCTACATCATCTGGGTTTTGTACTCCGCCCGCAGAGACAGGCGAAAGGTAAACAGGATTTGAATAATTGCGTTTTCTTCCCGCCTTTTTTTTCAGCCACGATTCGATTCGTGCCGAAAGGCTGTAATTACGGAAAGCTCGCAATAAATGTCAGTGCAGCTCGCGCGAACGATCGAGCGTCACGGGACACGCGAGCGATGTGTTCAAGATCAATAGCGCAATTACTCGGTGATTGTCAACGCGATGATTATGAACGGCGATTCGTTTCCTGAATTTTCGTCGGCTCGTCGTTGTCACCTTCCACCTTTGCGTCCCCTCGGGAGAAATTAGAAAACCACGGCCGGAGCGAGATTTTCGCCTGAGAAGACTCGCGAAAATCTCTTTCCGACTCGAGAAATCGCTAATGAGATTGCCAATGAGTCGTAGGCGATTTCGCGGCAGCGCAGAAAGAGTTTGAAATAGACGTTAGCGAGCGAAAGGAGAGAGCTCGCGGAGTTGGCTCACTTCGCTTATCGTGTGTTATCAACGGCTCCGAAATAATTCGTTCACTCCGAGGGCTCTTTTGACATTCAAATTATGTGAAGTGGTGAAAAACAATGTGTACGTATCATCATCTGTTAATCTATTTTTCATTTGAAATTTCTCCGCGAGTGTGTCGCGCTCGTTTTCTCGCGTGCTCGTCGAGCCGCTTGGATATATTTCTCATTTGAAAACTTTTTTTCCGCATCTCCCTTCCCTTCACTCTCTCTCTCTCTCTCTCTCTCTCTCTCTCTCTCTCGCTATTTCATTCTCTTTTTCACGTCCTTGTATAAAATGTAATTAATTTAACGAGACGGAATATAAAATGGCCATGCCGAGCCAGAATTTACCATTTGCCGTTCATAATGCGAGCCTGGTGCGTGTATCGTAACGGTATATATTTTCGTACAACCAGGCCAACCGCTGAAAGCTTACTTTTACGGAAGCATTTAAACAAATTGCGCGCGGCGTGGCGAGCTTCACGTGTACATCCTGACCGCGTACAAATAAGTACCGAAATATCCCGTAGACGTGTGCAGATAGAAGACTCTTGTAACGACCGTTTCGAGACGCGAAATGAAGGATCGGCGGTGTTCCAGTTTTGCGTTAACTAAACATTGTCGATGAGCGCGGAGACAGAGGCAAACTCTCGTGCATCGTGCCAGCGGCTGAATACGCGAGTTGTTACCAGCGAAAAGGACTGAAACATTCACAGCTGCGAAACAGTCGTCTGTTTTATTTATTTGTTCATTCAATATTTATTTAATCGCTTTTCACCACTGAGAGCAATTAATTGTAGAAATAATGAAAACGAAACATTTGTTTTCAAGATAAGCGCTCTTTTTACCATTTCGGGCGTGATCGTTTACCAAAAGCGATGAAATGGAAAGCGGAATTTCAAAAGACAAGGACATTTCTCCCGTTCGCGTATATATTTCCAATTTGATTTGGCCTTTAATTAAACGCAACCGCGATCGGTGCCGTGCTAACGTGGGCGTGACATTTTCCTTTGACAGATCGCAAATAATTAATCGTCGTGATCGCGACGAAGTCGCATTTCTTCCCGCGATCACAGAGGATTCCAGTAGGTTGGAAAAGTTTCAAATGTGTGTGCGAAGTTGGGGAAGTTGTGATATTATTGGTATCGATATTTTTTTTAAATATTGGATATTTCTGTATCGATATTTTCTTTCAATATTCGTACCTATATCAGTATTACTTTGTTTCGATCTCTCTCTCTCTCTCTCTCTCTCTTTCTCTCTTCGATATCTTCTTTTTTAATTTTTTATTCGGCCGATCTTCAAGATATCATGTCATTTTTGACTCATGAAAATCGATGTAACATGCAACTTACGTTTTAAATCTATCTTTTCTCATGACTTCTGTTGTGTTAGTTTTACGGTTATTTATTGATTAGTTATTTATTGCTAAAATAAAAGGCAAGCATCCGGATATTTTTACAAATGTATGGAATCGATCATGAGTGTCATTTTGTGCATATATTGTTTTATTGTTTTATTTCCACGTATACCGCATTAATTTTTTACATGTGATTTTTCGTTTCCAACGTCATCAAATAAGGACAATCATAACGAGGAGCCTTAACACATCCTTTTTAACGTGTTAGATTACAAATTATAGAAAGTTGATAAATAATGATTATTATGCACAGACATACAAAACCCTTAAAAGCAACTTGCAAAACAAACATTTCCCTGACTTTCACATTTCCTCTAATTTTATGTTTTTTTAAAATTTCGGTACCATTATGGTGTCGATATTTCGTTCTGATACTGATATCACTAATGATATCGATATTTTTTATTAGACACTCCGTCTCAATATTAGTATCGCTACACGGTATCATTTTCATGGTATCACAACGCATCCCTATATGAAGTACACTATATGATTCCGCGATATCACGCCAATGAAATCAATTGATACTCATATCCGCGCATGCAACGTAAGGAGAACGCAATCTCCAGCGGAGAAATGGAACGGGTGACGTGATGAACAACGTCGGTTATATTGCGGCGTCAATCGGATGCGAAATCCCCGCTGATACGTGAATCGCACACGGAAATAGAACGAACGTTCCGTTCGTCGATCTATTCGCGATCTATTTAACCTTTCTCGCGCTCTTCCATCTGGTTCGGTGTCACATCGAACACGGGGCGACGGGCGCATAATGACGTGGCCAATTAAATTGGCGCGATACCAGTCCGGCATCGAGCCGTCTCGAGATCGAATTACAGCGAGCCGCGCCGTCGTTCGATCCGCGTCCCATCAATGCGCCGCGCAATGCTAGACTGCAGTTCGTTGCAATTAACCGCGATGCAACCGAGACTGCGAGACCGGCCACGGTATATCGGTGTGTCCCGCACAGAATTATAATCTAGTTTCTGTTTTGTCGAGGAAGACCGTACATCGGGGAGAAATTCCTTCGAGCCTGAATTATTTACTAATATCACCGTCTATAAGCAATATATGAGGAGGTGGACAAACAACTAACACTTATATGCGTTGAATATCGATTTAACGCAAAGTGTTGAGATAACAAACGCAATATGCTAAATTAACTGAGCAACTGTGTTAAAAGAAGTCGAAATAATATTTCACTTTTAAGTGATACACAAAAAATATTAAGTTACTGAACTGACATAATACGTGAAAACGTCACGAAATATGATGACATACCAGTTATACGTTAACTTTATATTGAAGTAATGACCAAAACTTGGTATCACAAGAAAATGTTAACATTTAGATACAAGATTTTTTTACTGTAAAGAGCCATTCTGGCGTGATACTCCATTCCGTCACACGATGAGTCCATTCGTACGGATTAAGAATCCACATTCCACGATTTGAGTTAAACATTCACTCTTGTGATTCCGAGTGGCAGTAATTTCGCTGTCGCTTTTAGTGAATTTTCATTCGTTCTCAGTGAAATTTCAGTCTGAGGAATTTAGAGAGAGAGAACATTTTCCGAAATAAAATTATATATATATAAGCACGCATCTCGTTTAATGTATATATATATATATATTTACACGGTGTGTAAAGATATATTTATAAATATATATTTACACGGTGTGTAAAGACACATTTTAAACGAGATGCGCGCTACAACGGGTAAGCTAAATGTAACATTGTTTCCGTGTTGCTCAGCCTTTGATACACTATAATTTCGCTGAAAACCCGCGAATGACCAACCAGCCGCGTTATTTTGCTCGACTTTTGCGCTGCAAAGTGCGGCGAATGCAGGCTGCATAATCAGCGCGTGTTCGGACATACGCCGTTGCGCATGTATTATGCAGGTCTTGCTAATCACGCGTGGTAAATGTTGCATTGTATCTATTTCAATACGTACGCGTACATAATTACCACGTTTCGCGATGTCCATGACAAGCGTATATATATATACGTATATAGTATAAACATAATTCGTACCATCCGTTTGCTTCCTACGTAACGCGGCCCGCGTTCGTGAATTTCCGATGTCAGTCACAGATGCCGGTAGGCAACTTTCCGCGAGCGTGGAACATTTGCTTCTCATGTATGACGCAAGATACAAAATCCCGAGTCATCCCGAACCTGCGGGACGAATCTCTGTGAAGATGATCGATGACGACAGAGCGAAAGCGTTCACGCGGCGAAACGAGCCTCAGCTTGTGTAAAAACCGTATAACAAATCCTTGCCTTTTCTAAACCCGTGAGCGAAAAGCCGCCGGTCAGGTTTCTCGTGATCTCGCGGCTGTATTCTTATACACGAAATATCGATCACACAATCTGAGTCGAAATTTTAGTTTTATATTAAGTCTATTTAGTTCTACATTAGGTCTTCAAAAGTCTTCTAGTGTGCTCCTTCGATGCTACAAATGGGAAGTTATTTCCGTTTCCTCCATTTGAAGACTTGACCTGAGTTGAAATTTTGACGCTAATCTGACGCTCTTAAGAATAGTTTGTGATATTTAAATGGCCTATAAACCAGACTTACTAAAGACTAAAAAAGACTTACTTTGACGATACTGACACTTTTTAATTCCTCTCTTGAACCTTTAATTCTATATAAAAAAAAAATTAATCTTGAATCAAGAATTCTCATGTATAAGCGAGAATATTATAATCTTCCTAAAAGATTTTTAATCTGATCGAATTTGAATTTGATGCAAATATTACTTGAACTCAATTCAAGATTAAAAATCTTCTAAGAATATTATAATATTCTCGTTTATATATGATAATATCTATTTTTTATTTCAAACTATTTCTTTCCTATATACTGATTGAATTTTAATGCTATCTTCAACCATCTATTTTGACATTAAAGCAACGAAAACGGAAAATTTAAGACATCATCAAGGTTATATGGTAGGAATTATATTATATTATTAGAATCGAAATTGTGAATCTAATTTGCTATTTTAGCTTCTAGTATGTTGTAGAATTAAAGATCTAACATAGGGCCAAAATTTCGACTCGGGTATGATCGAGGTCGACGAAACGATCCACGCGCGCTGAATTGCGCGGCTAACTACGCACGCATCCGGCTATTAAATAGACCCAGAATTACGCCGTTATCGAATCAAACGAACGAATTGATGCAATTACATCGCGTGTTCCATCTGTTTACACAATCTTGTTTGTCATTAATTCACCGTGCGGCGGACATGCAGCGCATTAACGCGTCTCGGACCATTTTTTTTTACCATGCTCTCCTTTCTCTCGTTACACAGCAAGCTAGGGGGAAAAACATCTGAAACGGCTACGGAAAGCGTCGCTATAAATAGACGAATTTTCTATTAGATTCTGTCAGCAATTGTGTCTTCAACTAATGAACAAACACGTGCCTAAGCGCGAGTACGATGCGAGTAAACATGTGCACTGACATTTACGGGCCGATAAATATGGATGTTACCGATGTCCGATGCGCCGATTGACGTATCAATCTTTACCGCATCAATCGACGGATTAAGACGAGGGAAGAGAGTATTAAATTATATATAGAGATTTCTCCGAAATTTCTCCACGATTCGCGAGAAAATCACGTACGGTGTTATCCGTTGTTGTCGTCACATTCATCAAATCGTCACACTCACGCCGATACGAACGCAACCCTTCCGGAAAGCACAGTCAAGGTACTCAAGGATGAGCAATGAGGCGGTATGAATAATGTGAATAATAGCTCGAGTGGGTTAAACAGAAGTTAACTCATATAGAATCGGCGGGACGTCGAGAGACGTCGCTCGTGCCTTTGAGCGATATTTTCAATTTTCCCGGGAACAGCGCACCGCGAGATCAGACTATATGTGTGTGTGTGTGTGTGTGTGTGTGACAGCACGGGCAATTAAATTGGCTCGGAACCAAAGCTGCATCACACGAATTGATCCAATTATGCCGGACGTCCATCTCGACGTGACGCGCTCTCGTTCGTCGCTCGTAGCGAATTTACGGTTCGCACCTCGCATGCACGTCAACGCTTGAGCGTTTTGCGGTCCCTTACAGCCGTAATATATGTAATCGATCGCGTTTCAGGCGCTCAGGCTTGCCACGGTTACGCAGCTGACCGAGGTCATTGTGCCTCCCAGGACGAATGAGCGCCGTGCCGTGCGCGAGGATCCTAAGAGCGAGGGCGAAAACCTCCGGAAAAATTCGTTGAACCTCGACAAATCGCGAGGACACCGCGAGAACCCCGCTTTCTCCGACATGGACGAGGTGTGACCGGTACGGCGATCTTCCGGAGTGCTGAGCTTTGGTTGCGAATTTCCGAGTTAGTGACTGCTCCAGAACCGTCGAAGTACCGTCGACAGCGTCATTTAGTCTAATAAAGGTAGGCTCTCCATAATTTTATACAGGATGTCTAACGTAAATCGCCCTATCCGTCATATACTTGCAGTTTATGCAAAATTTTGAGTTATTAATTATTGAAAATGTATAGAAGCTTCTTTAATTAGTAATTTAAAAATTTGCGCGCTTATTTGCAAAATGGTAAAGGACTTTCTTTGTTCACATTGAAACATAAACTATAAGTATATGACGGATAGGCTTGCGTCAGACACTTATATTTAATATTTTCTGACGAAATTGCGACGAAGGGTTGGGGGGAAGGTGTAAAAATACCCAAATCTAGTGTGACGTAATTGTTGAATGATCTCTATAATATATACGACATAGTTTAAAACTATGTTGTATTCCTTTTTTTTTTATGGAGCGTTCTCTCTTAAAGAATGATTTTCTTTCTGCAATGTGGTGTGTGATTTACGTATTTAAGCTTTGTGTGGAAAATAAAATCCTGAGATTCTATCGCTTTAACGTGTACGGTACACCAACAAAGAGAGGTTTTTGAAATTGCATGAATTAATCATGAAGTTTTAATAGAGCCTCGGTTTTATCGGCGAGTAAATTGAAAGTTGTGGAAAAATATTCCTCTTTTCTTTCTCTCTCGGTTTTCGATTTTTATCATCAGGAAATGCGAATTTTATGCATGTTTGTAAAAAAATTGTTATAAAAAAATTGTCTATGAAAAATTAACGCATTTATCAATCACATTTATTACAAATAAATCCTCCACATGTTTTATGAATAAACGCACAAGGAATTGATGAAGTGAAAAAAATTGACTGACAAGGATGCGTTTAAAGTTGTTGTTTTACCATTTCATCTTGAGGAAAACGTAAATTCGCGAACACCTTCGCGAATACAACGTTGCTCGTCACCTTTTCCGGGATTTATAAACACTCCGAATCCCGTAATACGAAAATTATCACTCGATTTATGGCAGTCTCATTTTACGAGTATCCTGTGTCAGTAGGAGCGTTCATTAAGGATTAATGCTCGAATTACCATTGCAATTTCCCTTTGATACGTCGCATCTGCTCGAGGGGGTGCTTTGTCCGCGGCAAATACTCGTGATACCTTATGCCGTCGCGGTGACAGCGTCGGACGTGCGTCGGACGAGCGCCGGCGGAAACGTCGTATAAATTTATCCCGGGACGTTTGTTTAATTGAGCAGTTCATTAAACCGGCGCGCAGGATGCGAAAGAACGCCGCGATGCTGAATTCATTATCACGTCGGCCCCGTTTGCCGCAATTCATTCTCATTGCGCGAGCGAGCGTCCGAAGAAGAGCACGTCTCCCTTTGCGTTCTTGCCTTATCTCTCAATTATTCCGCGTGGTCGGCCCGTAAATTGGATATGCGAGCTTGTCACGGCAGGTGGAAAAAGCGCTTTCCTCTCCTCTCCTCCTCTGTCCTTCTATCGAAAGCGAGATCGACGGCCGATCGACGGGCGTCCGTAAACGTGACGAGCGACACGATCGAACGGAATTCCTCTCCGTGAAAACGCAACCAGTCGTAACTCATCCCGACCTCCATCTCGGCGTGGTAATTAGATTCGTCTCGTTTGCGGCACGCGATCGCGATGTCCATATCTTTCGGTAGTTTCACCGCGGTGGCAGAGAACGGTTTCGCTCGTTGTAGCTCTCTCGTCGCGACCAAAGCGTAACCTCGAGGTGTTTTTGGTGATTTGCGAGCTGTTTACGACAGCGTTCCTGCCGAATGTTATGAAGGATACGCTGCAAACGATCGTGTGTTATGCGTACAAAGGAACGGCTCCGCTTCCATCGCGTGTCGCGAACATGTTTCGAAACTCGTCGACACAATCGTCAGGATTGCGATAAGACGTTCTTATAGAAATGAAATAAGCCGATTTTACGTGATATAATTTCTTTATTAACAATTTTACATTTTTTGCATTGATGTAACCCTAATTATAGTTTTCCTTATTTGAAGGTGATACAAATTCTATCTATCGGACTGTCTTCTAATATCGGAGAAAAGCTGATTTGTTTTTCGGATCTCCTGACACAGTATTATAGTTCCTTTCTGATGAAGAGAACATTTGTACGCTTTCTTAAATCTAGGATCGTGCAGTATTGCAGTTATAAAATATTTAAGTGCCCGGAGAAAATGCTGGAATTGCTTTATCGAACAGTCAATCGGCATATCCGACAATATTATTCATACGACGCATAAAATAACAACCTTAGCATAAAGAATATTTATAAACTTATAAATAGTTAAAAAATATATATTCGATATTTTATTTATAACACTTTATTCGATATTTTTATATTCAGTATAAGAGAAAAATAAAATATTCGATAATATCGAATAACGATAACCGTGTCTACACTACGTTGACTTAGAATTTTATTCGCGACAACTACATAAAGATTCATAAATACATTTAAAACATACACTTTATAAGTTCGTCTTTTTATACGATTTGTGCTGAAGGGGATCCAAACCTGAGATCGAAATGTTCGCGACTATTATAATTTGTATTATTAAATATTTATTGCGAAGGACAACTAGCATTCTGGTTCTTGTTTGCTTGTATTCTTTACTTGATTGGAAATCACGAGAGCCTTGATATTTATTATTTTTTATCTGATGCATAGTAAGTAGCCGTGTTTTCTCTGGATCAGCCTGTAATATAATACAGAGTATTAATGAAACTTATATTATCGTATCTGCTATTATAAATCATGTTCCGTTTGTCGATTCAATTTACGATGACGTAAAACAGTTGAAGCGTTCTCGCTAGACGATCGATCGACGACAAGTCTGACCAATTCGACTATGTAGTTAATTCGCACCGTTGTGCTCCTTGCTCTATTCTCGACATAGGAAGTTTTCCATTGTTGTGGTAATCAAGTTGTCGGATATAATCTTGGAGAGGTCACCAAATAAGATTGCCGATTAAACCGCCGTCGCGGAGAAAGTTTCGGGCACATTTGTGAAAAATGTGACTACATTTCATATTTATTCATGACAGTTATAAGTATATTTTTTATTATTACTATTAGTAGCCGATAAAAATATCTACATTATTTTCGATATTTTAGTTGAATCGTAATAGCGCACGATTTTCCAGACTTGTTATGTAATCTTCACTGTATGCTATCGGGGATAAAAATATAAGGGCACTTAAATGAAAAAATATTACGCGAATGTTTCGATAGTATGATTCGCTGAAGATAATCGCTTCTCTCTCGCGCGTTTTTTGTAACGGAAAAATAAAATGCCAGCGAATATATGACATTACATCGAAATAATCACGGGAGCAATTGTAGGATGTCTATTGCTTGGAAAAACTTGGAAAACCTGGAATTTTCAGGGAATTTATTTATGCTTGAAAAAATCAGGGAATTAACAAGAAATTTTATTGGAAATCAAAGAATTTTAAATGGATATTTGTCTACAAACCATATATTATTGCATTGTTCATAGACAAATATTGTGTGGTTGACTAAATTTTATTTAACAATATTTTTTTCATTAAGAATAAATCACAGAAAAAAATAGTTTAGGATTTTTGGACTTGATTTTTAATTCATTTTAATTTTAATTATTAAGAAATTGTGTTATATAAATTATAAGTGCGAACTTATTAACATTCTGTATACATATATATATATATTTAAGATTGTTTTTACATTTCTGCTTAATATTTAAATATTAGCATTTCTTTTATTTTTATAATGGATTTTCTTCTGAATAATGGATATATTAAAAGTACTTTCATTTTATTTGAAATTTTTAACAAATTTTAATATCAGGCAATCCTCAGGATTCGGACTTGAATAGACATCCTGGACTGCTTCCGAAGGACGAGAGGCGAGGCTCTGCTAATCGCACGTGGACTACAATACGTAATCGAGTCGCGTCGCGCGTCTATTCAACCGACGAAGAAGTCTTACGCTCCTCGTGACATTATACTCGCGCCGATAAGTGTATTAGCGACAACATAATGACTTCATTCGGGATGTCGTTCAGCGGCGGAGCCGCGCGTGAATTCGCGCTAATATCTAATAAACCGCGCTGATTGAATCGCAGTGATTATTCGCACTCAGGGCGACGTATGAAAGCCGGGTCATCGAGTTTAATGATCTCCGCACAGCCGCATCCGCAAGTAATCGCGTACGCAATCACTGTTTAGTTAATACATGATTTACCAGGTTCCGTTACACAAGCTCCGCCGCGGCTCCAGATATCAAGCGGACGATTTAGATAAACGCATCAGCGGCCGCGGTTCCAGTCCGGCTGCATCTCTCGAGGTCTGACGCAATGAGATTATTGTTTACTGGAAATTAAGAGCTATACGCGACGCATACATCGACTGTTGTCATTATTACAGGGGAATGCTTCAGAGAGAAAGAGAGAAGGAAGAAGGCTGGTAGTGGAGGACCGAGAATATATTTTATTATTTATTCGACAGGTTATAACCTTTTAATAATATGGCAATAATTAAGCAGTAATTATATTTAATGATGTGATCATGCATTAAAAGTGCAATATTACATGGTGTCTATCATCATATTTATTTAAATTGATTTTATATTGCATCTCGTAATATCATGTTAATTTAATTAATGACATGAACAGACGCGGGACGGAAATACTCGTACGTGTACGCTTTGCGCACTGCGTTTTTAGAAAATTTTACTCACAAATGCGCAATAGTTGGGCGTAGCTAGGATTTTAGTTGGGCGAGGGGGAGGATAACAATTTATCCCCACACAAAACTTATATATTAAAGCATACTTATATTAAAGCTATTCTTCGCGGGTCTTAAAAGTAAACTTTCTTAATACTTCATCTTCCAGCTTTTTACTTTTTGCGAGCACCATTTTTCTATGTACACTCAGTGTACATAGTT